TGGGGTGGTTGGTTTGGTAAAATAATTAAAATTGCTTTAGGAAATCATGCGATGCTAAGCCACAAAATCTGGTACAACAATCTATGGTGCACAAGTTAAAGACAGGTTTGTAACAAAATGGTAATTTTCCTCTCTCAAGCTATTGGTTCTCACTCTTCTTTCTTGTTCGATTTAGCATCAGCTCCGTCCGAATTCGTACTGGTTTTAGATTCATTGAACTCCATCAACTGCGAAGAGAAAAGCAAATGCTAATGAATATTCATTCAAGTATCTCATATCAGAGTAACAGGAAGCTCTAGACATCAACATATAAGATAAGAATCAATTCTTTCGAGCTCAAACTGAAAACAATCAAACATTATTCTTACTTTTAACAAATTTTTCCAACTTCAATCAATAAATGAAATTATTTATTTTTACAATTATTCACTTATAAGTAAATTTTTTTGAGGATAGCAAATCAGTTCATTATACCTCGCTAATAAAAATCACACTGAAAGACTTACAGGTTTAACTTCCCCATTCCATATGCAATGTGCAGCCAAAAATCCAATAACACACGGCACGATATACAGAAGCGCAGGCTGGAAAAGGAGCACGATTAAGTAGAAGCTCAAAAGTGAATCTTTTAGAGATAAGGAGATTCTTTACAGGGACGTATTTACTCAATTTAATTTAGCGAACCATGAAATTGAGAGAATGAGTTTAATACAACACTTACCTGTGCAGCTTGAAACCAGTTCATGACAACTATTGTGAGGACCAAGCCGGCTGTGTACCCCAGAAAAGCACTCTTGAAGTATTGGCTCTCTTTTCCCCGAGAAACATCAAATCTCAGTGCTAATGCTACAAAAATGCCTAGAAAAGTGCAAGTAAATCTTGAAAATTTATTTGACCAGATATTATTATATGGGAGACATTTATGCATATTCAAAAACAAGACTGGTTTCCGTTGGATGGTGAAGAACCTAATTCATATTCTTCATATCTTCGATTGTGTAGGCAAATTTTCTTTATTATGGAGGTGTATTGGGCATTCATATTTTTTTATTAGGTCCCCAGTTTTCCAGTTATATAAAGGAATCTGGGAAGGCCGTTTTCTCAATGTATGAATAACAGTAACAGAATTATTACTCTCAAGATTGAGATTAGGGGTTAATCTTCACGGCTTTACACAAACAAGATGAATATAAATCCATGAAAAAGGAGACAGGTGGACACAGAGAAATCATAGCTAAACCAAAATAAGGAGTTTTGGATCAAGTGAAGTTCATACCGGGAATAACTATATCTCCAAGACCAAGCATTGAAAATGGTCGTGCAGAATCCATTGTTGGGAACAAAAGCTGAAAAATGAAGCATAAATATTGTACATTTTTTACCTTGAAGTACAAAACAAAATTTATGGTGTCAGGTAGACATGTTAATTGAATCGAGGTACTAACCTTTATAGGAGCATCAAAAGATTTTGCAACACTAACCATTACTGGAGTAAAAAAGACCCAGAAAATGTCATATACGAAAAGCCCAGCCTGAAATTTGCAAAAAAAAAATGCATTTAATGGAAGACCATAATCTATTGCATGAACTAGTTTTTACTATAATAATTTCAAAAGAACTGCATGTTTTGTGTGCAGGATGTGCCACAGAATTGTCCATCTTACCAAGAGAATGGCACCAGTCTTAAACGAGCCCAGCGAAAGCATTTCGATTCCCTGAAAAAGAAAATATCATGTCATTAAAGCGTTAATAAGTTAAAACTTCAACGTTATATTGTGGAAGCATTATACATTCTAAAGGAGAAGACAAAGTACTTAATCACTCTCTCTGAGAGGTAAGATAGAGAAATACATCACAGGCAAGCATTTTGAAATTGACGTTCATATTGGGTGTGTCCAGTAAGCAGTAATGTGACATGATTGGATAATGGATAGTATAAAAAACAAGAATTTAACTTTTGTTTCTTTCATGGTACTCTGTCCTCTGCTATCCAATCCTCTCGCTAATAAGGTTTGGAGAATGTAAGTAGTACCATGAACCAAAAACCTATCAAACTGAGCAAAATTGTACGTTTTGAGGGGGATTATATACTGAGTTACTGAACATTACTCCCTATGTACACAAGTCAACTAATCCTAATTTTCTTAGTATGCTACTGTGTTCAGGAGATGGGGAAAGGTATTGTAGGCATTCATTTTGGAAGCTATCAAACCTGAATGCAGAATGCAAGTCCCAGTGTATTGTTAGCTAGCCAATGCTTCTGTGAAGCATACCATGCACAGAAGAAAGTTCCAGGAATTGCAGCAATGACCTGAGATCTTGTAAACTCAACCTCCAAAGCTGTACAAAAAATGGGTCAGAAATATATCATTCTGCATATTACAAGCAATATAATGTCAAGACATCAAACAGAAGGCTGATAACTCACTCCCACTCCTATTTGAAATATTATTTAAGATTTGTAAAAAAATCACAACAAAAATAAGCTCAGTGAACTTTTTAAGCTTACCCAAAAATAAGCTCTTAAATCAATTTAATTTTTTCATTCACATATAACGCACTTGTCAATAATATAGCCATGCCTAAGTTCAAAAGTATCTTTAATTAGACAAAGTATAACCAAAAATACACTAAAGAGTAAACAAGTGGACAACATCACCCCACAACAGCAAGCCATGATGCTATTTTCAAATAGAAGTTTAAATCAAGATCAGAAGATCTTCATCAATTTGAAATAATTTTCAAAGAGAATAATTTACAGTCAATGTTAAAACATTAAAAGAATAAAAGTGAGGTGATAGGGACAAATGTTAATTAACACCACCAGACAATGTTAAAAAACACAGTGCATTAAAAGCAAAACATGTCAACATAAAAACAAATCCAGCTGATTCTCAAGTTACCGAGCCTCAACTAGTACATCACTTCTAGTGAATAAATATTTTCAATAAGATGAAAAGGAAATAGGAACCATCAAGGAATAATAAATAATATCACTTCTTAAAAGTAAGAACAGAATCATATTAACATTTGTGTATACATACACCGGAAATATGGAAAACGCCATACTATGAGATTATCATTCCAATGTTTCGGCAAAAAACGACTGATTGCTGGTAACAATGTTGCCCTGTAAAAAGTAAACGAAAAGAGTAAAACGAGAAAAAAAAAATATCATTACTTCTTTTAAATCCTAATAAAGAATATTACAGATAGCAAAACAAGAATTTTAGAATACTCCATGTGCTAAAGAACATACGAGAGAGCAACGATCCCAAGTACGAAAAAGTAGCACGTCAATACAGCATTAACCAAGTCCTTTGACAGGAACTTAAAGAGCAAGAATAATGACAACAACATGGCACTTCCAACCAATGGAAATCGCATGGCATGTTCATTGGACATTGTCTCCTGCAGAATTTAAACACCCAATAGCTCAAAAAATTCACAAGAGAATAACATTCAAGGGGCTGAAGATAGAGGCCTTGCTCAACTTACTGAAGGTGGAGTTGGCTTGACAGAACGGTAGCAACCCACATAAACTGCAAGGCAAGCTGTCAAGATGACATTTAAATTCGGGTCTACCTTCACAATCAGTGGGGCCAAGGTCAAACCTACCCAATGACAAAACTCACAAAATCAATGCCCAAGAAACTCAAACCCACATTATAATACACAAAACATAAAGAAAATATAATTTACACCCCCACCTCCAAACCAATCAAATATGTTCATAGTGCACTAAGCTTTCATAGTGAAGTATAAGTGTCCAAAGAGAAGTTTGGCTCAAAATCTGATCGTGAATGTATATATATGCATTCATAAATACAAACACGCTAATATACGTGCGCAGTGCACTAATCTTTCATACCAAAATATTAGTGTTCAAAAAGAATATTGGCTCAAAATGTGAACGTGTGCACATATACCCACACATGTATGTGTTCATTCTTGCATAGAAAAAGCACGCGCACATGTATAGATACATACATTAATTAGAGGCCATGAAATATATTACAGCACACAGAAACGTGCATAAAATAAATGGCTGCTGGCTATGTCCCCGAGCCATTAAGAGGAAGAATTATACTTCACTAAAATATTTATTTCTTTTCATAGGGTTCTAAATTTTAATGCAAAGAATCAAGCAAGTGCATGTACATCCACTTTTTTCAGCAAAATTAATCTTGCAGAAGCAGCAGCTACAGGAAATTCAAACCAAGAAATTGGATAACAAGAAGCAACAAAATAAATAACAAATTCATCATGAATGAATATTCAGTGGGCACAAGAAACTCGTTGTATATAAAAGAAGCAAAACAACAACGGAAAAATTTATAATCATGACATCAAATGACCAGACAAAATAAACAAAATAGTACCGGCCAAGGCAATATTAGCCAGACGCTCATTATTCTTCATTGTAAAGTCTTGTCAAAATTCTGAACTGCACCCTTCGTTTCACTCCAAAAGAAACTGCAATTCACAAAATATAATGTATCCAAGATTCTTCAGATAACAAAACCTAACATACCAAGATCAACACAATTTAATTAAACGTAATAGAAAAGTTACAATACTTTTGGTTGTGTACAAACAATATAAGATCTTCCAAAAATCTGAGGCAATCAAGATCAAACAACAAAATCAAAGACCCAAATTTTAGAATTTCTTTCAATTAAACAAAACCCACATTCGTAAGTAGATATTTAATATATCTCAGAGCCGTATAAGTAAATAATCTTTAATTTAATCAAACACCCATGTTCTTGGCTTCTTCAAAATGACAAAATTCATTCAAAAAAATTGTATATAGACACACATACACATACAGAGAGACCTTAAAGAAGTGGGAAAATTACGGGTCTCTCTTTCCTCTCTCAGTAGACTGATCTTCAATCTTAACACTCGGATCGGAGAAGGCTCCCAGACACAGAGAGAGGGTGGGAGAGTTTAATTGCAGAGGAAGAAATGGTACATGTATTTATTATTGCATGCTGGTCCCAAAATTCGTATATCCTACTAGTATGTTATCCAATTCTTTGAGTTGCTTCTATAGGTTGTACATTGACTTTCCAAGTCTAATGTACGAGGATTTAAAGCGTTTAGGTTTTTAGTAACTGTATGCAGAGCTGCTGCAGGGGATTTTAATAACGTGATTACGGTAACCGAAAAACTGGAGACGATATGGGATTTTTGCTTGGGAGTGGGTGCCACGTCCTGGGAGGTGTAGTCTCCCAATAAAAAAATGCCACATCAGATTAAGAAAATATCTTCGGCAATAGTAAAGTCCAATACCAAGCAGAAGCCCATTATTATTTAAATATCACACTTTAAAAATCAGATATAAAGTATTTTTAATCAAAAATAAGGGAAAAAAAAAGTCTCCTACACAGGCCCTTTTGCACAGGGCAGTACAAGGGCTCTCACTTGAGGGTGGACCTCACATGTAGACCCCATGTATGGGGTCCACCCTCATGTGTATGCACCTGTACATGCTCTAAGCAAAAGAGCCTGTGCAGATAGCACAGCCGAAAATAAGGTTACAATTTAATATTTTAATATCAATAATTATATTACAAATTCAACACTCACCAAATCACTCATCTTTACCCAATTTCAAACCCTAAATCATTTTAATCCATTCTTTCTCTCTCTCTCTCTCTCCACAAAGCCGGATCTCTCCCTCTCCCACTCAACGAAGCCCAAATGAATCTCCTCTTTCACTCTCACTCTCACTCTCGCCCTCTTTAACGAGATCCGTGAGTGGCGACGCTGTGCTCAACTCCGCGCTTCAGTCGTAGGGCGTTGCGACGACACTGGGCGCGCTTCTCGACGACTATAGTGATGACGATGTAGGATGTGGTTTTGGGGACGACGACAATGTAGATGTGGTGTTTCTTCCCTTCGATATGCCTAGGACGACTCTACACTCTGATCATCACCACTGCGACAACAATGTATGCATTGATCTGCATGCTATAGTAGTCATTGCAACCACAATGACGTGGTTTTTCTTTCTTTTGATTTGTTGTAGGTTGTTTTGGGTATTGGAGATAATGCGGCGATGAAAATCTGGAGTTTATGGAGGTAGTTGGTGGTCGATGAAGACGATAATGGTGTTGGTGGTTGACGACGATGATATTGTGTTGGTGGTAGTGGTGGCGGCGATGGCGGTGGCAGTGGCAACTATGACAGTGACACGGGATGAAGAGCATCTGTGACCAATTATTTAGGTGTTTGTGACAAATTACATGGTTAAATTGTGACCAAGTATTGGTAATGGATTGGAATTGAGGGTGGGGGTGAAGTGTTTGATATATGTGATCAACTATTTGGTTATTTGTGACTAATTATTTAATTGTAGCCTAAAAATTCGATAATTCTTGACTAAAAAATAATTTGTGACCGACTAATTTGAAAATCTGTGACTGGTAAATAAGTTGTGACCTATAAAAAAGATTTGGATCATTAAATAAATTTTCTGACCTATAATATTTTTAATGTGTGATCAATTAATTTGATAGTATGTGACTAATAATTAAGTTGTGACCTATAATCATATAACTGTGACTATTAATTGTATAACCATGACCTTAATATGTTTAATAAATAAAATATTTGTAATTCTTTAGTTATCACTTGAGATTTAAAAATTTAAACTTATTGTGTGAATTTTGAATTGGCCTATACTTTACATCTAAAATATGAATATTTCCCATTTGGTATTTGTTACCAAATATTTAATTGTAATCCAAAAAATTCGATATTCATGGAGAGTTCGATTCCTGGTGGGAACCTGTGATCCAATAAAGGGGCAATTTATTGGTGGATCAATCACTCTGGAGGAAAGCTCTCTTGAGGCCAGGAGTTTAGACCGGGTGGGAACCTGTGATCCAATAAGGGCACAACCTGCGGTTTACCTCCGCTAGTCACTGAGGGGCCGGTGGCTAGGGGTCCAGGATTTAGTCTAGCGAAGTTGGGACACCTGGGTATAAAACTGACCAAATAATCAACTGTTAGCCGACTGTTAACCGACTTAACAGACGTGACTTTAGAACATGTATGTTCCGAGTTTTTGAGGTTTGTCTGAAAGGTGACGATTGTTCGAATGGCTACGAACAAATCAATAAATAGCCTGCCCCTCTACCAGAAAATTTACACCATTTTCATTGTAAACTTTGTGTGCTTTGAATTTTATTCTCCTCTCTCTCATTCTGATATTGTTTCAAAGTCAATTACACTTCGTTGAGTTCGTTGGAACTTTGCAGATTGCAATGCTATTTCCGTAGGAGACGAAAATTCGTTCTATCCTGAAAAATGATTGCTGGACGCTTTTAGCACCATTGAAGGCAGCAAATTCGTTTTAAGGAAACATCGTGAAGTCGGTGGGCTCGAATTACATTTTGGATCCTGTTGATCATCTTTTACATTCAGGTGATTCTGTCGGATTGTTTTCGAAGGAGTAACTTAAAACTCTAGAAACAACAATCTTAAAATGAATTTCGCTATTATTCTATTTCTGTTTCTACTCTTTCTTACAGTTGATCTTCTAATTATGTTTCAGAAATGACAACTTCTGGTACCACACTCCCGAATACGATAGGGGAAAAACCAGAAAAATTTATTGAGTCAGATTTCAAGCGTTGGCAAAAAAAATGCTTTTTTATATGACAACATTAAATCTGGCTAAATTTATCAAAGAAGATGCGCCTTCATATACCGAGCAAGACAATGATATTGAAAAATTGGCTACGGTTGATGCATGGAAGTATTCTGATTTTCTGTGCAAAAATTATGTACTCAATGGATTGGACAGCACATTATATAATTTGTACTACAATCTGAAATCCGCAAAAGAACTATGGGAATCTTTGGATACCAAGTATAAAACCAAAGATGCCGGCACAAAGAAATTTATTGTCGATCGATTTTTGGACTATAAAATGGTTGACAGCAAGACTGTCATATCCCAAGTTCAAGAACTTCAAATTATACTTAGCGACATCCATGCCGACGGAATGAAACTAAGTGAATCATTTCAAGTCATTGCACTGATTGAGAAATTACCGCCTTCATGGAAGGATTTCAAGAATTACCTAAAGCACAAGGGGAAGGAAATGAAACTTGAAGATATCATTGTCCGATTGAGAATAGAAGAAGACAATCGCAAAACTGAAAAAAGGAATGGTGCATCTTATTCGATGGAATCAAAAGCCAACATTGTAGAATGAGGCTTCAAGACTAGCAAATAGAGGAAGCATAATGGTGAAGGAAAAACTGGTTCTTCAAAAACTGTTAAAAAGTTTAAAGGCAACTGTTACAATTGTGACAAGGCAGGACATCGATCCAAGGATTGTCGAAAGCCAAAGAATGTGAAGGGAAAAACTCACCAGGCCAATGTAACAGAACATGAGAACCTCACTGATAAGGTACAAGACATGAATCTTTCTGCGGTCGTCTCTAAATGCAACTTAGCTGGAAACACTAAGGAGTGGTGGGTGGATACTAGAGCTACTCGTCACATATGCTCAAACCACGGGATGTTCTCTACCTACAAAGCGATGGATCATGATGAACATCTCTACATGGAAAACTTGTCATCTTCCAAGGTAGAAGGACATGGAAAAATAGTGTTGAAAATGACAAGTGGAAAAGAGCTCACTTTGAATGACGTTCTTCATGTGACCGATATTAGGAAAAACTTGGTATCTGGTTTTCTACTAAGTAAGAACTAGTTTAAGCTCGTATTTGTCTCAGACAAATTTGTACTCTTAAAGAATGAAATATTTGTTGGAAAGGGCTACATGAATGAGGGGCTCTTTAAGTTGAATGTAATGACTGTTGTACCTCCAAGTATGAATAAGAATACATTTTCTTCTTACTTGCTTGAGTCATTTAACATTTGACATGAAAGATTAGGACATACAAATTATAACA